TGTGTGTGTGTGTGTGTGTGTGTGTGTGTGTGTGTGTGTGTGTGTGTTTGTCCATGCCTGGTTTAGCACAAATTACTGACATCCACTACTTAGTTTCCCAGATGGATTCTTCTGAGACTTGCTCTTTTTACTAAGAGACAAGGACACCATCTGTATAAATGATATAAATTTGGAACTGCATTAAATGACCCATAAGCCTTTGGTATGTTTGGGTCAATCAGGAGAAGCTGAGAAACTGCCATGAGAATGTATGAACCTTAAGGAAATATTGTTTCTTTGGAATGTCTGCCCTTGATGCTATGTGAGAGCATGCAGCTGCACTCATCTTGGTCCTGAGACACTTCTGGAAAACTTGGAGTTCTTTCAATTGATTATGCCTAGCCAAAGTCAAAAGGGACTGAGATTTGTGTTGGTTGTCTGTTCCCATGAGCAGTAAGGGCAAGACAACCTTGGTAGCTGGAATCTTTCCTATCCACAATTAACTTTGAATGATGTTTGAATAAAATAACTTGAGTGAGCTAGTTAGCTGTCAGTCTTCCCTGAGAGGCTGTAGCCCTCTGTTCCTTGAGAAATGAAAGCTTAGCATCTTAGTGAGTTTCTCTCTCTACTGCTTCACCTATGACCAGTATCAATCAAGACCATCTGGAGACTCCATGTCCAGAACAGCTGCCTCACAACAATAGTTGCAAGCTATCCTCCTGCCTCAACCCTCTTGAGTAGCTAGCTTACACAACTGAAGAATGACACAGCATCCAACTCAGCTATACATTCCAGGAATGAATGGACAGTTGTGACAATGTGTTTGTCACAAATCCTCAGAGGATAATTTTAAGAGAATCTGTGTGCATGTCTAGTGTCAAGAACAGAGCAATGCCAATGGGACACACACTCAGAGCCATGTGCATCACATGCAAAGAAAACTCAGCTAGGTGTGTTGGTTTACAACAGCCATTCTATCATGTGGAATGCTGAAGCAGGAGTGCTCGGAACTGGGGTTTTACATCAACCTTAGCTACAGATCAAGACCTTGCCCAAACACAAGTTAAAAATGAGTAGATAACTAGCTACTAAGTTAATGAACAAAGTCCTCATTTTGGGGAGTGGTTTAGTTAATGGGCTTTTGAATTCCACTCTAGTTTTAGTTTTGTGGTTTTCCCAAAAGGAAACCATTCAGTCTAGACACTATCCAATCAATCCATTGAGATCTGCCTGTTTCTTTTGTGAGTGAAATATAAACATGGGGATTTGTTTGTTTGTTTGTTTGTTTGTTTTGATGCTAAGAGTCTCTATACAGCTCTAACTGTCCTGGAACTCTCCATGTAGTCCAGGCAAGCCTCATACTGTTTTTTTTTTTTTTTTGCAGTGCAAGACAAAGGTTTATACTTTCCTCAGAATAAAACAGAAGTAATGGAAACATTTATAACCCATGTCAACTTGGAGTTGGTTCCAACCCTTTTTAAAATAGCTGTTAAAAATGTTAGGTGCTCTAAGCAGAATGAAGGTGTTCACTTCAGACAGAGTGTACATGGAAAATGCTGGAACATTGCATGTTTTTTTTTTCCCTGAGAGATGTGTTAGACAAACAGAATTTGCTGAGACCTATCTTTCTAAGCAGCTCCACACTCTTCTCTTTGGAGAATGTGTCTCAACTATTCATTTAGTCAGCACTCAGACCATGTGCTTCTTCTTCCTCTAAGTCAATCCCATTTCCAACCACTTGAGCTCTACAAATCTTCATGGCCCTGCACCTAAAATACCTTCTAAGATCCTGTCTATACTTTGGCTTTCACACCTTGTGATCTGGGAAGCCTGGCTCCTAGTAAAACAGCCAAACAAATAAACAAACAAACAAAAACAAAGAAACAAAATAAACAAACAAAACAACAGCAAAAAAAACTTCCATGACTAGATTATGAGATGCTAACCTTTTAGTCACTTGAAACCTCAACTTACAGGGTTTATTCAACTACATAAAGTGCTCTTCTGTCGAAAGAGATGGAGAAAAATATGCAAATTTTGATCAAGGATAAATACATAGGTACAAATCACTCCAGCAAGATGGCCTTATGGCTGAGATGGGCAGACAGGGCACTTCTTCCCCATTACATTCTTAGTCATTTGATTCTTGCCTACTTTTATCTGCAGCCCTCACTAATGTTTTGGGGTAGGGATGAGAGT